CAAATTTAAGAGTACCGTTAATTTCTTCATGGTCCAATGATCGGATCTAAACTAATAGAAATCGGTTAACGTTGTTCAAAGTTATGCGGTACCATACATAAATATATGTACCATATATAAATATTCCAACGAATTCATTACCTTCTAATTTTTTTTTGAAGTCGGTTAAAACTTAACAAAAAAAAATGTTAACTTGAAAAACTTTGTGAATATTGAAAAAATCTCCATGTGATGGCATGTTGAGTCACTGTACACACATACATATGTATTTATATACAAACGTAATTAAACATATCTATAGGTATGAACCATGTATGTATGTATATATAGATAAATGTGCACATTTTAATTTGCATAGATTTGCACAATAATCGCTACTGAATTAAAGTGTTTAGTTTTTTTTTTTCTTTTACGTCTGACTGCTTCTGTGTGGCAAATCAATATTCTCAAGCTGGGTTTAATAAATTTTCAAATTGCTGATTTTTGTATACTTATTGGACTGTATTTTTCACTACAGACATTTGATTTTTTTTAATTTATTTAATTTAATTAAAACGTGATAGAATGCGACTGTGCAACTCTGATGCAATATCGGTGTGTTTTTTTTTCAATTTATTGCATTTGCTTGTAGCCAAGGCACGTGTTATCAAATTCTTCACGTTCGATGGATATCAATCAGAGCAATTTTTTCGGTTTCCTTACCCTTTTTGTGAGCCTTTGGCATTTCGAGTGTTATATGCATATGTACATATGTAGGTACATTCGTATATTCCGCATTTCAATATTTTTTATTAAATTCCTCACTGGCGTTTTACTGCGATAACTGATGCTTGTGATGCTATAAAGTAAGATAAAAAGAAAGATTTATTTTCGTTACGTTTCCCATATAAAATCTCATATTTATAACAATTAGACTTCACAAGCTTGTAATTGATGATTTTACAAGGCGACATGTGAGTATACAATGTGTGTGTGTGTTGTGTATGCAAGTATAAATATTTGTTAACATGTGTCCATGCCTACATGATTACGCGAAGGTTGAGTTGATCAGCGTGCCATCACCGGCTGGTATCATCTGTTTTATTTTGCATATAAATCCTTTCAATTGGTCAAGACTTAAAATGTAATACTTATATGCATATGCACTGCACATGTAATTGTATACATATACATATATGTATGCATGTTTACACATGCACGTACATATATTGTTTTTGTTTACTTAGATTTACGAATCTTTAAAGTACATCAATTTAAACGAATTATTTATTGTTGGCGGAACCTACTAGAAATCCACTGGATGTGTAATCTTTATTTTTCTTATTTTGTAATTTTTTGTTCTTTTAAAGTCAAAATTAAGGAAGTAATTCAGACTTTAATCTGTATCTTACTTCACATTACTTACTTAAACATAAAGTGACTAAAACAAGTGTCAACGTGTTTATTTATTTATTTTAATATTCCCAACGTTTTTTCAAATAAATTTTTTTTTGTTTGTTATTTTTCTACAAAAAAGCTTTAGACAAAACCAAATAATGGAGAGTTTCAAACTTTATACTCCATCGGCCGAAGCACCTCCAACCAAGCAAACAAAATTCATAGGAATTTGGCACATACAAAAATAATTTATACCAAATTTTTCATACAAATTTCATACCTTTTAATCTGAATTTTTACAAGATTTATGTGTATGCAGTTTTATAGCACATACAATTTTAGTCTCATGGAGTGCAAGTTTCAAGCGTCTAAAATATCGCATTGATTTTTAATACGTTTTTTTTTTT